CCACCGCGTCGGTCACTGTTGGGCCTCCACAATCCGTTACGGCAGTTCGGTGGTCTCCTTCCGCCATAAATAGTGATTTTTGCTCTGACGCTAGAGTAGCAGATGGATGGTCGAGGTCTCTTCATTTCCACGGCCTGCGACCTCTGACTCTCGTGGTCGTCCCAGCCGACGACCCCTCTCTTCTAACAGATCCAGCCAAATCCATGTTCAAGCTGCGACGGCGGAAGGAAGATCCTCTCTTTTTTGGCGGCACCAAGGACAGTATCTCCTCCCTTCTCTTGAAACTTACCACTGAAGGACGGAGCAGACCCAATGCCGAAAGTATAAGAATTTTTACCTAGCAGCCGAGTCACGTAATTCCCACCATAGCTGGGTCATGATGGTGGGCCTCATCACGCAGTGACGCTTGGGCCAACTTGGTTTCAACGATACGCATCAAGCTAAGTAACATCAGCTTACTAACACTCAAAACTAAATTTGATTTATATTTACAAAAAAATGTAAATCTAAAACATTTTGAAAAGATAATTAAGTGGTTTAAGTGCTTTTGCTCTTGTTAAGTGTGTGTAATTTTTAACATTGAACAACGAACTTATGAAATCTGATCACTCAAGTACACCGGATGAGCACACACACTCGTACACTGGTCGAGCACACACACTCGCGCCACCAGGTCACGTCATATGGGTGTGATGATTAATAGGCTCCAATATAAATGTTAATACCACACACTCTTGACTTCATATGAGTTCTTGTGTGCTCTTACCTCTTCATAGTGCATCACACTCTGACTCGGGGAACGAGTCACCTGTTCAAAAGTTTTTACTTGCGAGTTCGAACTACTAACCTGGGGTGGCGAGTTAAACTCTTGTTAGGGGCCTAGAGCCACGCTCTTCCGAACAATTTTATCACTTAATTGACATTCACATTTCTCAAAACGGTTGATATACTGTAGTTCTTTGGGGTTGGATTATCCGTTTTCGAGTGAGGAGTCCGACTCACTTACTCGCGGATTCAATCTTTCTTTCGGAGACTGGGTTGAGGCCTAACATGGAAACTTGGTGTCACTCTTTTCAAGTGGTGAGTCCGACTCACTTACAAACTAAGCCGTGGTTCGACACCGGGCCCGATTCTCTATTCTACAATAGTTTCTTTTATGTGTAGGTAAACCTAAATGAAGTGGGGGACTGAGGGTCTTACCATCTTCTATGAAGCAAATGACGAACCTGACGAGTCTGAGCCCTACGAGAAGAACAGTTCTAGCCATCCTATTTGCAGATGGCGACCATTGCAATAAAGGCTGAGGATCTCACCTCTTGCTTCATCTTAGGGGCATCAGATGTACTCTATTTCCCTGCATTAGGACTTTTTCCTGTTGGGTTTTTTTCCTAATGAAGGTTTTTAATGACGCATCTCCCCAACATGGACACAGGCGGGGATCTTCTAGTCTCGGAGAAGAACAACTCACTTGGACTACTCCCTCATAGCCGAGTCTAATACTCGACTAAGGGAGTGGGGGACTCAAGATGGAGTTATGGGACTAGGCCCAGAGCCTATTCAGCCCAAGCCCCGAATTTGGACCCGTGGATCCAAGTCCACAACCTGGAGCCTGCCAGCCAGTGAGGAGCCTGCCAATCCGGCCGACCTCCCATGCCCGGAAGAGTAACGGTCAAGCAATTAATGCACTATTTAATTATGTATTTAATTCCGTATTAATTTTGTAATTAATTAGTCATTATTATTGGTAGAGGTTACGATTTGTATACGCCTATAAAAGGCAACATGTAATTCAAATTAGGGGGCAATTTCTCAATGTTATTCTTGGCAACTAAACTTCTTTAGCACTTTCCATTTTCGTATTGCTTTCTTGATTTCCTGCTTAAGTGTCGTACGTAGCTTTCCTAAAAGCCTACGAGCGTCCCATTTTGGACCAACATTGGTGTTTTCATTGAGAGACTCTATTTTCTCTCACATCACTCTAGTAGGAATTAACTACAAAATTGCAGAAAAATGGAAATTCGAAGGTTTCTATGAGTTTTTCATGCCTGAAATTCAAGATCTGAAAAAAGCATGAAAAATGGTCTCGTAAAACAATGGGGATCTGGATGTAGGCCAGCAACCAGCGTCAACAAGGAAGACATAGAAAAAATTTAAGATGGATCTCAGAACTGTATTGGACGGCAACGCAGCCCAACTACACCGACCCACCTCTGTCACATTGGTGTCTGCCTCGCTACCGATGGCGCCGCAGCCGTGTCGGTCGCCCTCACCGCTGGCAATTGGAGCCTGGGTCACGATTACCTCCTCCATGGTCATGTACTTCGGTTGCTAGAGCTCAACCTCAAATATATGCCATTAATGGAGGCGAGAAGCTGCTGTAAGTAACAATGCAACCCATCGGAAGACCACCCAGCTGTACCATCCGGTGATCCGTACGTGAGGACCATCGGGTTTGACGGCGGAAAAGACCAACGGCCTGGTCCTATCCTCTCACTTCCCCGGAAATGACTGTGATGGCGGCGCATCCCTTATGGCCAAATGCTCATTGTCTTGTCCTCCATGTCTGGCGGTGGTAGGAGGAAGGCTTGGCAAGCATGGTCAACTATTAGATTGGTCTAGTTGATCGTATAACAGCAGGGCAAAAGAGTCTTTGAGCCAAGTGGGAGCAGTGGGCTGGATTACTTTCGGTCAATTAAATTCTTCAATAGGTTAGATTCCAACAACACACCAACTGTCAGCCCATCAAAAAATGACCCAAATAAGAGCTAAGTATCCAAATATCCTCTATATTTGATACAAAAAAACATTTACCGAAAAAAAATCATAAATTGAAACATTTGAAAAGATATTTTAAGTGATATGATTTCTTTTACTCTTGTTGAGTGTGTGTAATTTTAACATTGAACAACGGCCTTATGAAATCTAATTAGTCAAGTACGCTGGACGAGAACACACTCGTACACTGGTCGAGCGCACACACTCACGCCACCGAGTCACGTCATATGGGTGTGACAGTTAATAAGCTCCAATATAAATGTTAATACCGCACACTCTTGACTTCATACGAGTTCTCGCATGCTCTTACCCCTTCATAGTGCATCACACTCCGACCTCGGGGGACGATTCACCCGTTCAAAGTTCTTACTTACGGGTTCGAAATACTAACCTCGGAGGGTGAGTTAAACTCTTGTTAGGGGCCTAGAGGCACGCTCTTCCGAGCAATTTTTTCACTTAACTGACATTCACATTTCTCGAAAAGGTTGATATACTTTAGTTCTTTGGGGTTATATTATCTGTTCGAGTGAGGAGTCCAACTCACTTACTCGCGGATTCAATCTTTCTTTCGGAGAATGGGTTGAGGCCTAACTTGGGAACTTGATGTCACTCTTTTCAAGTAGTGAGTCGACTCACTTACACACTGAGCCGTGGTTCGACACCAGGCCAGATGCTCTATTCTACACTAGTTTCTTTTATGTGTATGTAGGTACAACTGAATGAAGAGAGGGACTGAGGATCTTACCGTCTTCAAGGAAGCAAATGACGAACCTGACGAGTCTGGGCCTGACGAGAAGACAAGTTCTAGCCATCCTATTCGTAGATGGCGACCATTGCAATAAAGGTTAAGGATCTCACCTTTTGCTTCATCTTGGGGGGCATCATATGTACTCTTTTTCCTTTCATTAGGATTTTTTTCCCATTAGGTTTTTTACTAATGAAGGTATTTAATGAGGCATCTCCCCAACATGGACAAGGGCGGGGATCTTCTAGTCTCGGAGAAGAGCAACTGACTTGGACTACTCCCTCTTAGCCGAGTCTACTACTCGACTAAGGGAGTGGGGGAATCATGATGGAGTTATGGGACTAGGCCCAGAGCGTAATCAGCCCAAGCCCGGAACTTGGATCCGTGGAACCAAGTCCAAAACCTGGAGTCTTCTTGCCAGCCCAGCGGGGAGCCTGCTAGTCCGGCCGACCTCCCAGCCCGGAAGAGTAACAATCATGCAATTAATTTGGCATTTAATTCCGTATTAATGTTGTAATTAATTAGTCATTATTATTGGTAGCGATTACGATTTGTATACGCCTATAAAAGGCGGGTTGTAATTCAGATTAGGGGATGCGATTTTGATAAGCTATTCTTGGCAACTAAACTTCCCTGAGCACTTTCCATTTTCGTATTGCTTTCTTGATTCCCTGAGCGTACGAGCGTCTTATTTTGGACCAACAATGATATCAATCTAAATAATGATAATCTTTTTCTAAGATGTGAAGGAAGATTAATAACCAAAGTGCCAATGACAAAAAATAGAATGGTTTTATTGGAGATCCAAAGCGATAAGCAAAATGCTTACATTCATGTTTAAAAGAAGATTCGTGGTTATGGCACTTAAGGTTTGGGCACTTGAACTTTGGTGGCTTAAAATTATTATCAAGAACCAAAATGGTTGATGGGATGCCACCCATAAATCATCGAAATCAATTGTGTGAGGGGTGTCTTTTAGGAAAACATGCAAGAAAAGGTTTTCCAAAAGAATCAAATTTTAGAGCAAAGAGGCCCTTGGAATTAATTCATGCCAATGTTTGTGGACCCATTAAACCAAGTTCATATGGAAAGAATAATTATTTTCTCCTTTTCATTGATGATTATTCTAGAAAAACTTGGGCCTATTTTCTAAAAGAAAAGTCAGAAGTTTTTGGATCATTTAAAAAATTTAAGGCCCTTCTAAAAAAGGAGGTTCGGCATCAAATACAAGCTATGAGATCCGATAGAGGAGGTTAATTTACATCAAATGAGTTTAATGAATATTGTGAAAATAATGGGCTTCACCACAATAACATGGAGTGGTTGAAAGAAAAAATAGAACTATTCTTGAGATGGCTAGAAGCATGCTAAAAGGCAAGAATATATCGAAAGAATTTTGGGTCGAAGCGGTTGATTGTGCTGTGTATATTTTCAATCGTTGTCCAACTAAACGTATTGACAACAAGACACCTCAAGAAGCATGGCGGAAGAAGAAACCAAATGTTTCTCACCTTCGAGTTTTTGTAAGTATAGCATATGCTCATATGCCGGATCAAAAACACTCAAAGCTTGATGATAAAACTGAGAAGTTTGTGTTTATTGGATACGATAAACACTCGAAGGGATATAAGCTATATAATCCAGTCACAAAGAAAATCATTGTGAGCCGAAATGTCCAATTTGATGAAGAAGCCTCTTGGGATTGGAGTGTTCAAGAAGATGAGAATTACAACTTCTTCCTGCTCTTTGAAGAAAATGAAAAACTAGAGGAGCATGATGACCAAGCGGCTCAAGAACCAAACACTCCACCTCATTCACCATCCATCCAAGGAAGTCCATCAACCACCGAGGAAAGCTCACATGAAAGAACTCCCCGTTATAGAAGCTTACAAGAGATATATGAGGTAACACAAATTAAATTTGGATGAAATAACTCTAGTTTGTTTTCTTAATGATTGTGATCCAATAGGTGTTCAAGAGGCGCTAGAAGACAAGAAGCGGAAAAATGCTATGGACGCAAAGATGAAGTCAATCATGAAGAATGATACATGGGAGTTAGCTATGCTACCAAAGGGGCACAAGGCTATCAACACTAAATGGGTATACAAAGCAATGAAAAATGCCAAAGGAGAAATTGAAAGATGCAAGGCCAGGTTGGTGGCGAAAGAGTACAAACAAAGGGCCGGTATTGACTATGACGAGGTATTTGCTCCCATTTTCCGCTTAGAAACTATAAGATTACTTATTTCAATTGCGGCTCAAAATAATTGGAGATTATACCAAATGGTCGTAAAATCGGCTTTCTTAAATGGTTATTTGGAAGAAGAAGACTATTTGGAACAACCCACAGGTTAAAAAGGGCAAGAAAATAAGGTTTTAAAATTAAATAAGGCACTTTATGGATTATAACAAGCCCCAAGAGCTTGGAATACTAGAATAGACAAGTACTTCCTAGAAAATGGTTTTCTAAGGTGCCCATATAAATATGCCCTTTATATAAAAACAAATGAAGATGGGGATATTTTGATTGTGTGCTTATATGTGGATGATTTGATATTCACGGGTAACAATCCAAGTATATTTGATGCTTTCAAGAAAGAAATGAGCCATGAATTTGAGATGATGGATATGAGACTTATGTCATACTATCTCAGAATTGAAGTCAATCAAAGTGATAGAGGAATATTTATTTCCCAAGAAGGTTATGAAAGAAAAATTCTCAAGAAATTTAAGATGGATGGGTGCAAGCTGATTGACACACCAGTCGATTATGAGACAAAATTCTCCAAGTTTGATGAAGGTGATAAAGTTGATCCGACTGTGTTCAAAGGTTTGGTTGGGAGCTTGCGCTACTTAACATGTACGAGGCCTGATATTCTTTTTGGAGTGGGACTTATTAGCCGCTATATGGAAGCTCCAACATCTATCCATATGTAGGCCGCCAAAAGGATTCTACGCTACCGAAAAGGGACGATTAGCTTTGGATTGACTTACTCATCTTCTAAAGATTATAAGTTGTTTGGTTATAGTGATAGCGATTGAGGCGGAGATATTGATGATTGTAAGAGTACAACCGGATTTATACTTTACATGGGGGATATGCCTTTCACATGGTCTTCGAAGAAGCAACCCATTGTGACACTTTCGACTTGTGAAGCTGAATATGTTGCCGCTACATCATGTGTAAGTCACACCATTTGGCTTCGAAGATTATTGAAGGAAATTCACATTCCACAAGAAGATGCAACCGAGATTTATATTGATAACAAGTCAGCCATTGCACTTGGGAAAAATCCAGTCTATCATAACCGAACCAAACATATTGATGCTCGCTACCATATTATTCATGAATGCATGGAGAGAATAAGAGGTCCAAGTGAAGTATGTGAGGTCGCAAGATCAAGTTGCGGATATTCTTACAAAACCTCTCAAGCATGAAGACTTCAATCGATTGAGAAGAATGCTCGGAGTTGGAAATCAATTTTAAGGGGGGATGTTAGAATGTAAACTTGATTTTGGGATAAGTTAATAATTGATGTTTGTTGTAATGGGCAAAGTCCAAAATAATTAGGAGTGTTCTAGAGAGAAATGTTCTAGAAAGTTTCTAGAGTGTGAGACTTCTAGAGACATTCTAGAGAATAATTAATAATAGAGTATTCTAGATAAGGAGAAATCTAGAGAACTCTCCACCATTTATTGTGGATGTGTGTAGTATAAATATGTGCAGTTGTGCTCATTTGTAATCAAGCATCAAACTAAGACATCTTCAAGCAATAAAATACAAGTTTTCTCTTCTTCCATCCTCTTCTAATTATCTAAAAGTTTTTCCTACTTACATAATTATCTTCATAACGTACTAAAATACTTAGCATCTACCTCTAATATTCCAACAATTATCAATAGTAATATATATAAATATATAATCGGTCAAAGTTTAACATCATTGACATGAAAAATAATATTTGACTAAATAAAAAAGGATAACGGAAGTTAAATTTAAAACAATTCATAGATATACATGTGTATGGCACGGGTATTTAGTGTGGTATTTAATTAAAATATATAAAAGGTGTAGTCTCTTTGACCTTTAAAGAACGAATGCTATGCTCGATCCGTGTTGGTTGTGTACAAATTAAAATAGGTGACAACTCTGGTACCCATTTAAAAAAATGTGGACCTCTGTACGTAGAGTTTCTTTTATTTGAAGGCTAGCTAGAATTCCTTTTATTCATTTCTTTAAATTGATTATAAAAAAAACAAGATGCTTTATCGGCTTCTCCAAAGGTTAAGTTATTCCTTTAGTACTTCTCCTCCCTTTGTACTTTTCCCTTTACACTGTTTATGACTAAATTATAACTTGTGGCAATATATACTACTCCGTAGTATATAATAATTCCAAGAGTTTTTGAACCTACGTAATTTCATATATGTTCTTCAACAAAACGGAACATCTTTCTTGATTAAAAAGAAAACAAAAGACTTATTTCATAAACAAGGAATACTTCCATCCGAAGGAATAAAAAAACAACTTAAGCGGCCTATAACGAGCCAATGGAAATTTTGGTTAAAAGGGGGAACACATGAGTTTTGTCTATATATCCATTACATTGAAGCCAATTGGCGTGCTTCGCCCATCCTCATTTGTCTTATATAGTAAATGCTAGGATTGATGTCTGACCAGGAGTGGTGGGAGGAGGAGCATGAATGGACACGACGTGCAGGTGAACGGGCACGGCGTGCAGGTGAACGGGCACGGTGTGCAGGCGAAGCGGCACGGAGTGCGGGTGAACGAGCAGGACGTAGGGGTGAACGGGGACATGATATAAGCGTAGGGCGTTCGATTGTGGTGATACGGGATCACAATGGTACACCACGAAGAAGAATCATTACCAATGGAATTTTTATAGAAGATTCAAGAGGGCAACACCATGGTGAGCACTTAGAAGATTACGAAATAGGACGGGAATGGAATGAGCAACTAAGAGTAGTGGAATTACCAACTTACGATGATACATTCACTTCTCATGGACGTTCTTGGTGGAATCTATGTACAGCCCGTGAGGCTGATGTGTCCGTATAGACTGTCAAAATTGTATGTCATCTCCAACGGTGTCCATCTCTTTCTATTTTTATGGACACGAGGCCATCTCTTTCAATTCTCTAAACAAAAACAAAATTCTTAATTATTTTTTTTCGGCAAAAATTCTTAATTATTATTCAAAAATCAATTTGGGTTGATCCATTCACGTCTTTTCATATACATGCCTTATCTTCTCCCAGGCATTTACGATTGCTTGTCATTTGTCCCGGTTCTTTGTATATATGTGTGAAATTGAAGAAAGATGATCCCCTGAAGATGAGTGTGCCGAAGCCGATCAAATTCATTCCAGAAGGAGTATCCGTCGCACAAAAATATAGATGGGAGGCAGGGTCAAAGCCTCAAAGGTCACAGCCCCACCATTTTCCTGTTGTCGAGAAACAAAACGAGCAAGAGGAAGAGATCGCCAAAGAAAAAGGGGTTGGCTGCCACCGCCGCCCAGAGAAGGAGTGTCAGACCCTCTTTTGCTGGATTATTGAAATAATCTACATTTTTATACGAACTATTAGTTTCAACTTTTGAAAATGCTGACTTGGCTGTGAGACGGACCTTCTCAAAGTAGACAGTGAGGCGGATGATGTCTATTTTTATTCCCTTCCAGCTCAGCACCACATTGAATATGCATTGTTCCACTGGAGAGGATAATTTTATCCCAATATGATGTGGCAATGCATTGAATAGTAATCCATGGTCCCATTAAAGATGCTCTAATATTCTGTAATAACACATGCATGTGTATGGGATTACCAACTTACTATGCATTATTATGTAACAATTTGGAAAAACAATGATGAATAAATGAATGATAACCTCAAAACCAGTGAATTACCTAAATAGGACAAAAAAGTGGTTCAAGAGCACAAATAAGACTACATCTTTTAAATCCCCAGTACGACTATTTATGTGTATTTGGACAAATATACCCTTGTAGCTTTTAAAATATCTTAATTTATAAAATATTTATAAAAACTCCAGAAAAAATTGTAATTATAATTTTATAAATATTTATTATTTTTAAAATTTTTTACGATTTTTTAATATTTTTTACGTTTTTTTTAAAGATTTTATTGTGAATTAAAACATTTCATTATGAAATAATACCCTTATGGGTATTTAGGTTAGAAATCAATACTTAGTCTTATTTTAGAGGGTTTAAAGTATAGTAGTCTATTTGTTGCATTTTAGATTATCTTTATTCTTACCTAGAGCAATTTCTATAACCTCTATATAAGGCAAACAAGCAAGCTGCAAATTTAAACAAAAAAAATCTCCATTCGCGTTACGTTCCTATAAACTTGTTGTAAGTTTCTAGCCATTGACCATTGTAAAGTTAAAAAAAAAATATCATAGGTCGGTTTTTATAATACAATTACTACATATGGCCAATCTCGATTCAAGTAAGATTTTATTTTTTAAATATATTATAATCCATAAATAATTATATTTTACTTACTTACTTACTTACTTACTTACTTACTTACCTACTTACTTACTTACTTACTTACCTACCTACTTACCTACCTACTTACCTACCTACTTACCTACCTACTTACCTACCTACTTACTTACTTACTTACTTACTTACTTACTTACTTACTTCGAACGTACTCCCCGCTCCCTTAGTGTTTGTCCTACTTTGATTTTTTAAGTCAAACTTGTTAAAGTTTGACTGCTAATTACTCAAAATTAATAATATTTTATTCTTAGAAAATTATTTAATGTGATTCTTTGTAATATGTATTATTCAAATGTCAATTTATTATAGATTTATAGGTGCATATTAATAGATAATTACGGTCAAACGTCTATCTATAAGACCACAAAAGTCAAAGCAAACTTAAGAATGTTTTTACTTGGACTGTAATTTGCTGGTCTGGTTTGGTCTAGTCTGGTCTTGTCTGGTCTGTTTTAGTCTGGTCTGGTCTGAAATTTTATTTTTTATATTTTTTGCATCCTGTAGGCGCAAAACTAACAATTCTTTTTCGACATATAATTGAAGCACTATACTTCTGCAGAAAATCCATGCCGAGAATCACGTCATAATCTCTCATATCAAGCACGATCAGATCCACAAAAAACTCTCTCCCTGCAATACTCATTGGCACTGCTCGTAACCAATGAGTCGACAACATGATCTCTCCTGACGGAAGTGCTGTGGTGAACTTATAATCTAACTTATCTTGATGTGCTGCTAACGATCTAGCAAACTCAAGAGATACAAAGGAATGTGTGGCTCCAGGGTCAAATAGCACATTAGCGTATCTATTAAGAACAAGTATCTGACCTGTGACAACACCGGGATTTATCGATGCCTCCTCTTTCGAGATTGTGAACACTCTAGCAACCGGAGCCTCTGGTGGTGCCTCAAGGCGCCCTTGCTGGATGGATGGTCCTTCTAGATAAGCCTGCATATTATGGACAGCCACTGAAGGTGTTGGATTTCTTGGCATGTGAGTGGTCTGGTAGTTTTGCTGATTCTTTCTTGGACAATCTCTCGACATATGGCCCTCAAGGCCGCAAGTGTAGCAAGCTCTAGAACCCAATCTGCATTGGCCTGGATGATTACGGCCACAATTTGTACATTGTGGAAATTTCATCTGTTTATTTTGGTGTCCCTGATGGTGACCAGCTCCTTTTCCATCATTGCCCGTGAAGTTTCTCTTCTTGTTACTCTTCGAATTGTTCATGTGTCGTTGTGACTGATTCTGTGACTGCAAAGGCAAAGGCTGCGGCTGAGCGGGTACTGGACCGCTAGAGATGTAGTACTCCTTTTGAGTTGCTATAAAAACACAGTCAGCTAGTGTAGCTGGAGTCTGATTGCCATTCTCCAAGTGAACTGCTATATCCTTCCTAAGAGCTGCCAGGAACATCCTCACCTTATCTCTTTCCGTCGGGGCAGCTGTAGGACAAATACGTAGCAGTCTCTGAAATTTTGCCGCCAAGGTTGTAACCTCCATGGTTCCCTGGCGTAGACTCTGAAGCTCATCCTGGTACCTACGTGTGACACTAGCGTTGAAATACTGGTTGGTGAACTCCTCTTTGAACTGCTCCCATGTCATCTGCGCGATGTTGTACCTTGTTTCCACAGTCTCCCACCATATTTGAGCATCCATGGTGAGGCTGTAAGATGCACATCGAACCTTGTCATTATCTGTTAGTTCCAACCCATTAGCAATGCCTTCCACGGTCTTCAGCCATCCCTGAGCAGCTAGAGGGTCTGGCCCCCCTCGAAATCCGCGGGCTTGATCTTCCTCCATGTGATCATCAAAGGTTCTTGTATCGGTGCTCCGTGTCCCCTAGCATGATTATTTCCAGCATTTCCCCCTTCACCACCGCCCCTTTGATTGTTCGCGGTCAAACGGTCGATGGTTTGTTGCTGCTCCTGCAACTGTCTCTGAAGTTGCGCTACTAATCCTGCCAAATCCTGCTCGTGATTGTTTGCTTGCTCATTGTTGCTACCAACTGGACGACCACGAGTTCTCCTCATTTTCTTAAGGCACCTAAATATGAACTTTTATTTATGTACCATACACAATACAAAAGGCAAAACATTCTCACTTCTGTTCTCTATCTAATAAGACTCTTCTTGCTCAAGCACAGAAATTTAAAACTAACTTTAAATACTTACTTGGAAGATGATGAGCACGTGTACGGTGACAAATGAAGTTACGGGACAACCTGGATCTGATACCAAATTTGTAACGCCCCTCTCAGGGTTAAAGGAAACGTTACACAAACTTACTACTAATAAAAAAACTGCAATATAACGGCCGTTTGTTTAAGAAATAACCCTGATAAAAACTCAAATATAACTAAAATATAACTCCAAATAAAAACTCAAAAAAATCTAGTTATCACCAGCAAATGTGATAACCACCTGGATCCAGGAATTTACTAAAACTTCAAATCCTCAAATAAAATGAAGTAACAGTAATCAGTTTATAATAACATCTGAAATACTTAAATAAAATAATAACTAGCTAGAAGTCGCCAAGGTTGTTCCCGTTAACTCATCTTGGCACGCGTTCCACTCCCTCATCATCTTCATAGGCCTTGGCCTTACCCTTAGTATCTGTACATGCGAAGAAAGAAAACTGATAAGTTTTACGCTTAGTAAGTCACTATGAATCCACAAAATATTTGAGAAGTCTATGCTAATTTATCAATAGATAATTTAGGCTATAAGCGTGCACTAAACAAACAACTAACAAATAGCTTCTCAAAATAAATTCTAAGAGAGATTCTAAAAAAATATTTTCTAAAATAATTTCTCAAAATTACTAGAGAGATCTCAAAATTTCTTTCTCAAAACACCTCTGTAAAACTTTCTGAAAGAGATCTCAAAAGCAACTTTCTGTAAAACTTTCTGAAAGGGAATCTCATAGACTTTCTGTAAAACTCTTTGTGGCTAATTTTAACTGTGGGCCCGTGATATGTACTCAAAGGCGCCAATCCGACAGCTCAGGGGAGCAACCCACTAAACATATCGGACTCTCTGAAACTGATAAACTGATAATCTAAGGGAACTTGTTCCCGAGTACATATCACATGATCTTTCACTTTAAATATTAGTTCTTTTTATAGTGACGTTTGGGTAAAAACATCATTAAAATCTTGAAATAAAGTACTGACACAATCTTGACTATGCCAAATAATAAACATAACTTAATACAACAATTACAATAACTCAACAAATAATTCACCAAGCTCACATAATAGCAAATAGTCTAAAATCATCTACTAAAAATCGACCAGACTTCTTTCTTTCATTTGGTTGAACAAACATGTACAGGTGGTAGTGAACTTACCTGTAAGGAGCTGAACTCGAAATACGCAAATAAATGTGGCACCTTGATAACGTCTTCCGGTAAGCTCTTCTCTTATATCTTTAATTAAATGAATTTATGAAATAAGAATCTACCAAATATGAAAAATGGCCATATTACTGAAATCTATGTGTCTACTGGGTATACTAAACCTTAGGACTTAATTTCTCTTGCTACTATGAATAACTAAAAATAGAAGATGGATTGGCTTATCAAACCAAATTACAGTACCACGTATTGAGTGTACAAATATTTTGACATTTTGACAAACCAATGAAATTCTTTTCATAGCAGCTCAATTTGGTATTTACGGAGCTTTTAAACTAAAAAGAAAACAACTTTTCAGTTCAGTGATTCTGTAAAACTTTAACATTCAAATTTAACTCAATTCATTCAAACAAAGGTTACACTTACAATTTGATACAAGAAGAACGAAAGGTTTAACAGTTCCTATTAAAGAGAACTAATGAGATTCTAGCCAATGGTTTCAGCATCAAAACCAAAGATTAAACAAAAAATTGAATTCTGCCAAGTTTGAAACTCAAGAAGTCAAATCCGTTACTCCCAAAATATATAACTAAGAGCAAAATCATAGCAACAACACTTGTCCAGCCGAAATAGTCCCCCGTTTCAATGAAAATTTAACATCACAAAAGTAAAATCATTTATCATCCAAATCCAACCAGAAAATATTATTCTTTAGTTACTAAAATATCTCAGTAACCAGTAATTAAACTCACGATTGCAAAGAAGACTTGGAAAATAAAACATACCAGGCAGGATGCGGTGATATAAGGAAGAGATGGGCTTCAACAACAAGGTTGAATGGAAAACTTTCGGATGAAGAGAATACCAGGATCGACTGCTATGGGCGGAGAGGTCAGCGAGGTCAATGTTCGGTAGTAGATGAGGCGCAGGCTTAAGAATCGATAAGTATACTTATATTAGGTAATTCTCTAGGCTTCTCGTTTGTTTTTTGTTTTTAAAGACAATT